AGGTGATGCTATTACACTCATTAAGTCGTTAGGTAGGGGCTGCTACATGGCCAAGACCGATATAAAATCAGCTTTCCGCATTATTCCGATTCACCCTGACGATTACCATTTACTGGGTATGACATGGAATAATTCGTACTTTTTTGACCGGTGTCTGCCCATGGGCTGTTCTTCGTCTTGCGCTATATTTGAAGCTTTTAGCACTGCGCTCGAGTGGCTTGCTAAACATTATCTCTGTGTTTCCGGTGTTTTGCATATTTTGGATGATTTCTTGTTTATTGCTACCTCTCAAGGCAAATGTGCCTCCGATTTAAACAACTTTTTGAGCCTATGTGATAGTTTAGGGGTACCTATAGCACATGAAAAAACGGAAGGTCCTTCAACCACTTTACAGTTTGCTGGGATAACACTCGACACGATTAATATAGAAGCACGTCTGCCGGACGATAAACTTCAAAAATGCAATGCTCAGTTATTGGCCATGCACAGACGCCGTAAAACTACCCTGAAAGAACTTCAATCTTTGCTTGGATTATTAAATTTTACTTGTTCGGTTGTTCTACCTGGTCGGGCCTTTCTTCGGCGGCTTGTTGATCTCACAAAGGGTGTCCGTCTCCCTCGCCATCGTATACGTATTACTGAAGCCTGTCGTCGAGATTTATTAGTATGGCTTCAATTTTTAAGAGATTTTAACGGCCGTACATTTTTTCTGGACGATCCGTGGCAGGTTTCACCGCCTCTCAACCTTTACACCGACGCCGCCGGCTCAAAGGGCTATGGCGCACTTCTTGGGAAACATTGGTTTTACGGAGAATGGCCTGCCAATTGGAAATCATTGAACATTGCATTTTTGGAGCTCTTTCCGATTACTATCTCGCTCCACGTGTGGGCATGTCAAATGAGCAATCAATGTGTCTCTCTGTTTACTGATAATGCGGCTTTGGTTGACATTATCAATAAACAGACTTCAAAACACCCCATGATCATGATCTTAGTCCGTGACCTTGTCCTAACATCACTACGTCATAATATTTTGTTTCGGGCTTATCATATACCCGGTGTTGACAATACCCGGGCGGACTTAATTTCTCGTTTACAGATTGTAGATTTCAGGAAAGCATTCCCAGATGCCGACCCAGAGCCAACTCTTGTTCCCGAGACCCTTCTCCCGCAGAAGTGGTCGATACGTTAAAGGAATTACTACATTCCTCATTGTCGGAGCAGTCTCGCAAACAATACTCACGTGCTTGGGTTGTCTTTACTGAATTCTATACCCGCTATCAGGGTGCCGATTTACATTTGCCTGTTTCGACAGCGTGTATCGCATTATTCATTTCCTTTTTATGTGCCAAGGGCCTTGCTCCTGCTACCATAAACTCGTACCTATCAGCAATAGCATATGTACATAAGATCAAAGGCCACTCCGACCCGACCAAATCATTTTTAGTTGAAAAGCTTCTTGTGGCCGTTGGCCGCCGTGGTCAAGCCGATGTTCGTATGCCCATTTCACGTCCATTATTGTACGAATTAGTTAGAGCTTTACAGCATACTAGCCCATCTGCCTATCGTAGATCTCTGTTCGGGGCAATGTTCATGACAGCATTTTATGGTTTCTTCAGAATAGGTGAATTATCTTGCAATAGTAAACAGCAAGTTGACACCGTTGTGCAATTTGATCAAGTCACTTTTTTGAAACAATCTTCTCGAGTGACGGCTGTCAAGATTGTGATCACTAAGTTTAAACACAACACGAATAATCGGCCGTTTGTCATAACAATAGAAAGCGAACCTTCAGAACCGTTTTGCCCCGTGCAGACCTTAATCGACTACATTAAACTTAGGGGTTACCATAAAGGCCCCTTGTTCACGTGTGCAGCCGGCGGGGCAATCTCGACAAATAATTTTAACACTGAGCTCCGTCGTGCTTTGAACTTTTGCGGCCTTGATTGTTCTCGCTACAAGAGCCATAGCTTTCGCATTGGTGCAGCGTGCCATGCGTCTGAGAAAGGTTTTTCGGATTCGCAAATACGTGCCCTAGGTAGATGGAGTTCGGACGCTTTTAGAACTTACATTCGTCCGCCTTCACTCAAGGCTAACTAATTGTTTTTAAACGTTTCAAAGACACTAGTCAAGCCGCGGTTGGATCTCCGTTGTATAGGTCAGTCAGGAGCTGCTATGCAGTGGTGATTTTCACTACGGCTATTTAAACATCCGTTATGGGACCAGTATTTTTGTCTTCATCTCTGGTTAGCTTTCACGGGCCACGGTGGATTCTCTGATGCGTGGGTCAGTCAGGGCTGCCATACTGAAAGGGTTTTTCACTGTGGACTCTTTCCGCTATCACTTACTATGTACTTTACCAATCTGTTCTCATGTACTACTTTATCAATAGGTTATCTGTCCTACGAAGGAGCTACGGTCCTGGCACGAATTGCTATGTTATTTAACCTCTGTTTTCAATGTCAGTTCGCGTGCGGTTCATGACTAGGTCAGCCAGGGGCTGCTGGAAATGACCGTACTTTACAAGATTTTCTTATATCCTCGCTGTTTTCAGTTAAAATATTCCTCGGGGTTCTTAGTTCCGGATCTTGGTGGGGTGGTCACACGCTGTGTGCCTTGTGGCGGTTATTTCTTCCCCACCTTTTCCGAAGAGACATTCAATTACTTAATTTTTTCCATGTCACGTCACGATCTGATTAGTTTGTTAAGCGTGGCGTGACTTTTTATTGTCATATTAATAAATACGTCACAATAGTGGCCAATTTTATCCAGCCATATGAGTACATTGTCTCTTCGTAAAACTAGTGCGACCCGGAGCTAATTACCCCTCGACTACCTAAGTTCGCGAGATTAGTAAATCCGCAATATATTACTTTCGGAAAGGTATCGTGATGTAAAAACAAAAATTATGTCCCAAACATAATTACATTTTTGCGTCGGGATACCTGTTGTTATCAAGCACTGGCTGCGCGAACTGGGTACTAGGTAACATGTGATCGAGCATTACTTTATAGTACGTTGCGCGAATACGAGGGCCCCTTTCTACCTCTACACCATCGTGTGGCAAGTTATCTGTTCAAATTTTCCCACCTACCTCCCCCTCTTCGCCAGCCAGTGTTTAGTTCTCTCTCGGAAGGCGGTTATTTCTTCCCCACCTTTTCCGAAGAGACATTCAATTACTTAATTTTTTCCATGTCACGTCACGATCTGATTAGTTTGTTAAGCGTGGCGTGACTTTTTATTGTCATATTAATAAATACGTCACAATAGTGGCCAATTTTATCCAGCCATATGAGTACATTGTCTCTTCGTAAAACTAGTGCGACCCGGAGCTAATTACCCCTCGACTACCTAAGTTCGCGAGATTAGTAAATCCGCAATATATTACTTTCGGAAAGGTATCGTGATGTAAAAATATTATTTTTCGCATCTCTGTAGCGTTTTAGGACCAAAAACCCCTTTCGTTGCAGCTTACTTAAGATGGTGTGGCATCTTTTGCCACGTGCTTCCTTTAAAAGCCCAATTTCTTGCATATTACCACATAAACAAAAGGGCCAACAACTGCCGTTTTTGTCTCGCCATTTTTAAACAGGCAAACCGACAAAAATGAAATACTGTTTTTTATAACCACCTCCTTAGGTGCTAAGAGTGCACCACGTTTTACCCCGTTTAATAATCGTGCACCACGGCTATACGGGTATGAAGGACTCAGACAACCAGTTGCAAAAATGATGAGACACTCCCACGGAAAAACGACCTTTCTTGCTTCAAATCTCTCCTGGTCACAGGTCTGTAAAATATAATACTGACCTCCCTCCTCCCTCTCATTCAAGGTTGTTCCTCCAAGTTTTGAGTATGGTCTTGTATTGCTAGCAACTTTGATAAGGGGTGGAGGGGGATCACAAGCACAAGATCATGGACAGGCCATTTATGCCAAACTACGGTACAGTGTCTCAAGTACTTTTGCAACTGGTTGTAGGTTGTCTTACTTGTATTTTCTCCTTTGGCTGTGCCTGCCGAAGGATGTTTATTCATGGTAACGCGAGAAGTTACGTGATGCTTTTGTTTTTTCACGAGGCCTGTAATGAGGTTTTTATGCATAACACTAAGTGCTTCGCACATTGAGGTGGGCGGTGATTAAGAGTCTCTTTGTTCCTTTGCAGAGATTGCGTGAGGAGGTGAGACAGTTAAAGCAGTCAGTGGAGGCAGTAACCAACGCGTCGCCTGAGAAGCTCGTGGAACAGATCTTGGCTTATGCTTCCCGCCCGTTGACAGAGTTTAACAAGTGTGAGGTGCTTGAGATGTTGGAGACTCTGCATAACAAGGCCGCTGACCGTAATCATGACAGGAAGAACTACTATCGGCTCGTTCATCAGTCGGCGACGGAAAAGGTGGAGTTGTCGAAGGACCACTTCAAGGACCTTGTTATGCGCCTATTAGGAGACAAGGACCACGGGAGGGTCCTGGATATCGTTTCTAAAGTAGAAAAGAAGTCAAATCGCAAGAAGCCTCAAGCGAACGACAACAGGGGTGCTGGTGTGGCACGTCCGTTTCGTCTATTTTCTTTGCGATGTTATTTTTGTCATAGGCGAGGTCATATCAAAGCTGATTGTCCTGATTTGAAGTCCAAGCAGAGGAAAACGGATCCCAAATCAGACAAGTAGCTTGTGTTTAGATCTCGTTAGATCGCACCGGTGTTATAGGTTGAAGGCCGCCTGGACAAGGCTGTGTGTTGTAATATTGCTTAATTCTTTGCGATAATAAACAAACTTTTGTGTGTCTTGAATCAATCTAGTGCATATTTTACTCTGTCTATTTTGTCAACATAGTTATAACGACTTTGAAAAAGGGGTATCCTTGAGACAAGGGCCCTCCAGCCTCGCTGGTCTTAGCTGTTATTTCTCTGCTGACTTTGAAGGGGATGATTTTAATATGGTCTTAGATTTTTCGGCGATTAAGTGTTTAAAGGTGTCTTCACTACCCCTTTTTCCTAGGGAAACATGTGGTGTTGGGAAAAATCTGACTCCTTTGATCTTCGACTTCAGGAGTTACAAGGCAAAGAAATTGAGCTTCCAATGTCCTGGGTCGATTGCTTCGGTAACCCCGTCGAGGTCAGTGAAGAAGTGACAGCCTGTGACCGTGTTAGATTACAGAGAATACAGAGGGGAGAGTTAATTGGTGATATTTCGGAGTTATTGTTCCGTGACCCAAATTGTTTTCGAGCTGGAGAATTGCATAACCATTTCGAGTATTGGCAGTACATTGCGCGAGATAGCTCGTCACCCCAACAGGCACAGATTCTTGGGTGGATAAGGGACAAGGTCTCGATTAAGCCGTTTTTCAAGCATTTTAAAGGAAGTTTTAAAGGAGAATTGTTCGATTCAGACGAGCCTCCGATGAAGGTGTTTAAGAACAATGTCTCTTGCAAGCCCTTTGTGTCATTTGTGGAGGAAACGTTAGTTGCGCGCTTGAGATCTGGAGCTATTTCGCTGTTGGGGAGAGTGGGTGTGGTTGACCCTCCATTTATTGTTCTTCCCCTTACAGTTGAGCCAACAAAGCCAAGGTTATGTCACGATACGCGCTATCTTAATTTATGGATGCGTGATATGCCTTTCTCTTTAGACAGGCTGTTAGATTTACCGCGTTACGTGGGCAAGGATACCTACCAAACGGTCCTAGACGATAAGTCTGGCTATGACCATATTCTTCTTTCTGAAGACAGCCGCACGTATTTTGGGATCCAATGGAGAGGGTGGTATTTCACGTATAATACCCTTCCTTTTGGGTGGAAGATCTCCCCGTTTGTATATCATACTACTGGCGTGTTAGCTAGTAATTTCCTTAGAGCTACAGGAATCCCTTGTTTGCTCTACATCGATGATCGACACAATGGCGAACTGCAGGTGGCACTCGATAACGGGGAATACGCTACTATTAACACTGTTGATGATCGTCATCTTGCGGCGGCTAGGTCGGCTATATTTCTTGTTGCTTACCATCTTGTCAGATTGGGCTATTTCCTTGGTTTGCAAAAGTCAATATTGTTCCCAAGTAAAGTGGTTCCCTACCTTGGTTTTTTAGCGGATTCTCCTAGGGAGGTGTTCTGCTTAAAGCCGGAAAAGAAGGAGAAATTTTTACAACTTGTCCGTGAAATACTCCATGCCTCTAAGGTTACGGTGAAAACCTTGCAACGCCTGGTTGGGAAATGTGTCTCTTTTAGTCTAGCAGTACCTGCAGCCCAGTTGATTACGAAGCAGGTGAATGCAGCTATTGCCGGTGGCCAACGTACTCCCCACAGGCTAATACCCATCAGGGGGGATCTGCGTGAGGAGATCTCCCATTGGCTGTTTTTGGAAGGTTGGGATGATCCGGTAACATGGCGGGATGAGCGTCATATTCGTGTGTCTGTTGCAACTGATGCTTCCGCAACAGGCTGGGGTGCTATTTTGTTAGCCCCTCATCGTGAGGAAATATCAGATTATTGGACTGAAGAGCAGTGCAAATGGGGGATCGCCGCGAAGGAAGCTACTGCGGTCGACATGGCGTTAATGGCTTTTAAAGACAAACTGTTCAATGCTAGAGTTGACGCTTTTGTTGACAATAAGGCCGTTGTCGAGGCTTGGAACAACCAGGGTGGTAGAAGCTTGGAGCTTAATATGGCATTGAAACCGTTTTTCTTCACAACGTCGAAGCTTAGCTTATCTCTGCACATGTCTTACATTCCGACTGGTCAGAATCCTGCTGATGCTCCATCAAGGCGCTTGTCCCACTCAGATAGTAAATTGTCGGATGGCTTGTGGCAGATTGTTCAGAAGGAGGTTGGTGGTAGGGAAGGCCATACTTGCGACCTTATGGCCTTGGATTCGAATAGTATGACGGATGCGCACGGGTATTCTCCCCCTCATTTTACGCCGATTCCCTCTCCCGGATCGTCTGGTGTAAATCTCTTCACACAGGACCTTGCTTCCCTCGGAGCGCTTATGGCCAGACCGTATGTTTTTCCTCCCATGGCTTTAACGGGACCTGTCTTAAAATTTCTGCAGAGTTTTAAACAGTCGTGCACAGTAGTGGTGCTGGACGTGTTTCCCAAGAAGTACTGGTGGCCTCTCCTTATGAATAAAGCTGTAAAGAGTAGATGTCTGGCTGTTCGTGGCGATGGCAACGCTCTCTTGGTCCCGTCCAAAAAGGGGTGGCTGCCTCACAAGGGCATTCCTGGAGATCTCTGGGTTTTTACAGTGTGTTTTTAGGTGTGTCTTGGCATACAGTTTGATCTGTTGTGCTACTGGTTTGTGTTGTATGATAGGGTTCTTCTTTTCTGGTTTGTAGGAGCTTCCAGTCATGGCAAAGCTGTTTGCCCAGTCAGTTAAATGCTCAACCTGTGGACACGCTAATGATTTTGACTTCCGTTTTTGTCAACGTTGTGGCTACAAGAGAAAGGTTATGACAACGCTTGTCAAGGAACACTCTGATGTTATCGTTGACCTTGATGGAATTGAAGTGCGGTTGCAGCAGTTACTTCACTACGATCAGGCAACCAGTTATAAAAAGCAGAAGGAGTCTCTTCAGAGGGAACTTGAGGCTTTTCTTGGTGCTTTGCCGGGTTTTGTTACTCTCGCGACAGTGACGCCTAGGGACTTGTGTCGTTTCCTGATCTTTAAAGACAAGCGTGGCAAAACACAGGTAAACCTCAATACGTGTGAATTTTTGGGTCAGCGTGGTAAACAGTCATGTGGCTGCCTCTTGAGATTGTCGTACAAGACTGTGGACTCTTACATAGATTTTCCATTCCATTGGTCGGGACGGAGAGTGGGACAAGCGGCTAGGTCTTGGTAACCCAGCCTCTGATAAATTGGTTAAAGATTACCTTCGTCTTGTCACAGCAGAGCAGTTACAGGCCCGTGTTACTCCAAAACAAGCCACGCCATTCTTTGTGGACAAATTGACTCAGTTATCGAAGCATCTTGAAGGCGAGCTAGCGAGATCAAAGTCGAAACTTGACCGTTTCATTATCGCACGTGACCAAGCTTATTTTAAGTTGGCGTTCTTTAGTGGGGACCGCCCAGGAGATCTTGGTCAGGTAAAAGTTCCGGAGATCCTTCGTTTTCCAAATGATGATGGGTTCTTATTTAATCATATCTGGGGTAAGACTTTGCGGGATGGTGACAGTAATGTCTTTGGTGTTCGCAGAAATCCCCAGTCGGTCATCTGTCCTGTGAAGGGCGTTGAGCAATATGTCGAAGTGGCAAGGGAGTTAGGCGTTGATTTAACAAAGGGATATTTGTTTCGTCCGACAACTTCTAATAATGGTGTCCAAGATTCCCCATTTAGTTCTTCAGCAGCAGATGCGCGTCTTAAAGTGTATCTCAAGCAGATGAAAGCTGATGATGGTGAGACATTGCATGGCTTTCGTTCGGGTTGTGCGATAACGTTGGCCCTCACAGGAGCGGATCTGTCTGAGATTATGGAACACGTGGGTTGGGCTAGGAGGCATACCGCCTTACATTACCTTCAGCTGGCCAAGGTGCTGAAACATGATGGCCCGTCGGGACGACTTGCTACGCCTTCTGCTGAGAATGTGGTGGCTCCATGGCAGGATGTGAATCAGCTGAAACGTTTTGTGTGTGCTTTTCCAGCTGCTGAGCAGAGGAAACGCCCAGCAGAATGAGGATACTTTGTTTGGCTAGGGTGTTTTTGGAATGGATTATAACCTTTGTACTATTGTTTCTTTAATGAAGAGATGTTGTTATGGAAACTCATACTAGTTTAGTTTGATTATAATTGTAAACGTATAGCTGTGTCTTACAGTACTTGGGGATTAAAGTTATGACAGAGGTTGGAGAATTGAGGATTGGGAAGTTGTAAGAGGATTTGAGAGTCGGAGTGCAATTATCTAAGACTATTTAAGGAACAGTGAGGGCTGTTGGGCGCTGATCAATCTTTTTTCCCATACCTTATTAGAACTGAGCATGAATATGAAAGTATGTGAATAGAATACTATTCACAACACTCATAATGATATGCGAGGTTAAAATAATTCAATAATGGGTTCTTTCATGGTTAGTCTAGCGGTCTCACGTGCGATTACGTAATTACCGATAATAAATTCTGGTTTGGCGCGAAAATAAACCATTCTTGCTCAGTTTTTCAGCGGAGCCGCCAAGAGGTGGACGGCCCACCCAGTCCCGCCCCAAAATCGCGTGAGTCGTATCTTGAACTCTTCCTAAGCCAAGCTGTCCCAGCTTGGCTTAGTCCGCTGATCAATCTTTTTTTCCCATACCTTATTAGAACTGAGCATGAATATGAATGTATGTGAATAGAATACTTTTTAGGATAGGGTGTCACTTATACAAGGCGGTAACTTACAATTTTGGCATACTTATTTTTAAAGGCAGTCCTTACTTTCAAGTCTCTTCCAGAGTTGAAATCGGTTGATCAATATAGTTCGGCACATGTAAAAATAATAAACAAGTACATATAAATAAATAAATTCTACTCTCACTGCATGACAGGCCTGAAGTCATAGAACTTTCTTTAAAATGACTCGAACTAACTGCAGTTTTAATAAGGTAGGCCCTTGGGGTTCGATAAAAAGAAAATTCTAAGAGTAAAAATTCCAATAAAGTAAGCAACAACTCAAGTTTTGTTTGTTTGTTTTTGTGGGTGAGGGAGCGGGGCTATTTTTATGATACAGGGATGACTTTGTGGAGATGGAATGAACTCTTTTCATGGGAATAGCCCTTTTCTTGCTGTTGCTGCGGATGTCGATGTTATTTTGCTTGTTTGTTTTACGAACGAAGCCATGGCAGCCCATATCTGAAGCTATTTGCCACGTGATTATCGACCACTCTCGTGACTGAATGTTGCCGGAGCCTGACATTGTGGACCTTAAGGGGGTATATCGTGGTCAAATACAGGGGGACTTACCGAGCCCCCATAAGGTTTGCCTAAAGAACTAAACCCGGAATCCGGAAGAAACCCAAGCCGAATGACTCTGAAGTTTACTGATAAGGGTCAGGAAACTGGTGCAAACTGAACTGAAACTAGATTAACTCAGTCTCCTAACCCAAATCACTAAAACTTCATAGTCATTTGGCACTCGGCGTGTTTTTTTTTTTTTTCGAACCCCAGGTTTTAGGTAAACCCGGCACCGCAATCTTAGGGGGACTTTCGAAAAACGGGCCCCAGGTCTCACTACCTTTGTAGAGTTGGAAAGTAACTCATTTCCAAATTGACTCTGGCACTTAGCCATACTTTTTGTCTTTTCAATTTCACCGTACCATAATTTTCGAGTAAAACTTTAGCAAACTTCTTTTGTAGTGGATGTGGCAGAATCTTCAAAGGTAGTTGTTGAAGAAGCAAAGGATGCGCCGCTATCTGTGTCATCTTTATGGTTTGCAGGTGGGGAGCCATAATCCTCACCGTTATGATTGCTTTCAGCTGTGTTGTTTGGATTCTTATATTCCTCTCTATCACAAAGTAATATAATAAGGACAGATCTCGCCTTCTTTTCTTTTGCGGCATCTCATAACTTTGCCAAAAAAAAAACCATTAAGGTCATGTGCTATTTTTAGGTAGTTCAACCGGTTTTACACTCAGGTCTTTTAGTTATTCTAAGGCCTATGAATGTATTGAATTTTGATTGGCTGACTAGAACTAAGTTGATTCATGTTGTCGAATTTAAGGAAGAGCGCCAACTGCGTGGGGTTGGACGTATTTGACTCGAAAATTTGAGCGTTATGCTTTTGAGCGTCACTCTGAAAATCATAGCTTTATACCTTATTATGTTTCATGTTTAATTTCTATACTCCTGTTTATTTTGCAAGACATGATGCAACAACAACAAGCTCTAAACGGTTTTAAATGTGTGGGAGCCTGGCCTTACGAAGTAACCAGGCCTCTAAATTAGTAACCAAACGTTCAAATGATCTAAATCCTGAAAGAAAGCAGTTGAAATTTGAAACATTTTTTGTAAGAGACTTTTCTTGAAATCAAAGGAAGATAGACTTTCTTGCTCTATAGATACCATCTTAGCGCATTTATAAAAGCATTTTTGGAAAGAATTAAAACTTTAATTTGACGTCTCTCTATGCTACGCCAAAAGTGACAAAATATCAAAGATGCAACTTTATAATTCAAATCCACCAATTTACTATCAAGATCGATAAAATTAACATCAATTTGCTTTATGAATGTGTCAAGATTGTAGAATTTAATTTCAATTCCCACGTGTTTCATGTCATGTATCAAGAGACACTTTTCTAAATCAAGGATGCACGTTTTTTAAATCAAGAAGGGAGACGACAATTTTTGATCAGTTTTGCTTCCGAGAGAGACTGAAACTGAGCATACGGGTTGGAATTCAAGGTTTAAAAGTGTTGACGGACCTGCACGACTCCTGCAGTTCGCAAATAGATTGGTCTTAAAACCTTTATAGTTTAGCTCTTACTTGAGTGTCTTTGAGTGTCTTTGAGTGTCTTTGAGTTTCCTTTGCGATATGAAATGAGGAGAGGTTCCTTAAAGATGTTTCTGAGATATGGTTGGTTCTGTATAAGGTGCCATTTCCCCCATGAGTATATACTGTTTGCGTGATTCAATGGCGTTAAAAGAGCGCTTTTTGTCTTTTATTTTTCTCCGCACTTTTCTTTTGCGGTTTTTGGCCGCTTTGTTATCTCTGCGGTTTGCTTTCCCCTTTCCCCTTACTTCTAAGGAGTCTGATAAGAGACAAGAGTAAGATTCACTTTGTTTATTCGCACACACATCGACTTCGCTAATCTTGGTCTTCAATTTACATTGTCATCTTTGTTGACAGTTTTCTTTCGAGCCGGTGATTGCGTTTTCTGGTGAGACGTCTGCTTAGTATTCCAATATTGTTCCTTACAGTATTCCTGCGAGATTTATACTGTTCGAGTTTACGAAGCTTGTTAGTTTAAAATCGTTCTGCGCGCCTGTGGTGATATTTCACCAGCGCTTCTACAAGAGCCTGTTCCGCTTTCTTTCTGATCGAGCCTATCTCGTTCTTAAATCGCCGCCTCAGTTCTTCGTCAGGTGTTGACAAGCTTGAGATGTGTTCGAGATGGGTTAACTCCTTGTGTTGCTCGAAGGATTCTTCTGACAAGTTCTTCGATTCCTCCTCCATGTCTAACGCGGCAGGGCAGGAATGGGCGAGATTCTTCATGGAGCAGTCCATGGAGCATAGCCTGTGTACAGCCGCCCCTCCCCTCAAAAAAATCGGAAAGGAGCGACGCTCCTTTCCGATTTTTTGTGAGGGGAGGGGCGGCTGTACACAGGCTAATGGAGCATGGCAGATTTTTCGGTTTCAGTCCCCCTCGGAAACAAAACTGATCAAAAATTGTCGTCTCCCTTCTTGATTTAAAAAAACGTGCATCTTGATTTAGAAAACGTGTCTCTTGATACATGACATGAAACACGAGCTAATTGAAATTAAATTCTACAATCTTGACACATTCAAAAAACAAATTGATGTCAATTTTATCGATCTTGATAGTGAATTGGTGGATTTGAATTATAAAGTTGAATCTTTGATATTTTGTCACTTTTGGCGTAGCATATCTCTCCCTAATAGGCCAATTAAATTTTACCTGTTCTGTAATCGTCCCTTGGCGTGCTTTTTCTTCACCGCCTAATTGATCTCACTATTTGGGGGAGACGTCCACATCATCGCATTAGGCTCACTAAAGAAATCAAACACGATATGGAGGTATGGCTAAAATTTCTGAGGAAATTTAATGGCCGTTCCTTTTTCTTGGATGATAAGTGGAACACATCTCCTCCTCTCGAATTGTATACCGATGCGGCCGGATCAAAGGGCTATGGTGCTATCTTTGGCCCTCACTGGTTCTTCGGCTCTTTAACGAATCCGTGGCAATCCTTCAATATTACCTTTCTGGAACTATTTCCTATAGCTATTGCCCTCTCGGTGCGTATTTGGGGTTCTCAGATGGCTAACCGATGTATCGTGTTTGTTACTGATAACGCTGCGCTGGTCAGTATTGTCATTCAACAGAAATCCAAACACAAATTAGTTATGATATTGATTCGTGACTTGGTTCTAACTGCTCTCAATTACAACATGATCTTTCGTGCTCGACATATATACCCGGGTTAAATAATACCCGGGCCGATTGTCTTTCACGATTTCAGATAGAACAGTTCAAGGAACTTTCACCCCAAGCAGACGAATTGCAAACAATAGTGCCCGAGATTCTTTTGCCGAAGAGTTGGTCGCTAACTTAGAGAGTCTCTTGAGCTCTGTATTGGCGTCAGCTTCGGGTCAGTCATACCGTAGAGCGTGGACACTATTTCGTGAATTTCACGAGAAATTTTACAAGACAAAAGCCTTCCATTTACCATTAACCACCGCGTCTTTGGCGTTTTTTATTTCTTTTCTGGACGGTATAAATCTTTAGCCTTCGACCATTCTTTCTTATCTATCGGCCATTGGTCACGTCCACAAGATGATAGGTTTGCATGACCCCGCAAAGGCTTTCCTTATTCAAAAACTTTTGACCTCGCTAAGTCGTCAGAAATCGTGTGATGTCAAGTTACCGATATCTAAACCTATCTTGCATGACCTCGAAAGCTCTCTCCAGCACACCAACTCTTCGGCAGCACAGCCTATACGTTTTTTCAACCATGTTTCTCACA